AACTGTTCTGGAACAGTGTTGTAAATACAACTTAACCACTGATTTCTACTTGTGTCCTCTTTTGGAAGGCCAAACAAAGAATTTTCGCTTTCGCAACGAAACACACAGCGTCTTCACAGCATGGCAGTGGCAGCAACAATAAAGTTACGCCTTCTTTCTTTGCGTGAACATTTGGGCGGCGTTATGCAAATCTTCCCACACAGTGACGTAGACATGTGGGGACGTGTTTAAACGAGGCGTTTTAGGAGGGCGTGAACCAGTCTTAACTTTTATAAAGAATATCTCTTTGGGTTTGAGACTTTAGTCTTTGCAACTTTAGGGATCTTATCTATTCACGAACAGCTTGTAACACTCCAAAGAGAAAGGAAAACTTGAAATCGCATCATATGACCCCTTTAAAAAAAAAAAAAGCCAGGAACAAAAAAATGATGAAAATGGCCAAATAAGTGGTGTGGTAAAACAGGTTATTTACTTCATAAAACAATCTTTTTAGACAAGCTGTATGAGTGCTATTGCTTTCTTTATCATTATAATCAAATTTTTTTACCATTCTGACTGTTTTTGAAACTATATAATATAATATAGTACAATACAATAATATAATACAATGATGAGCAGCTGAAGTCTTTTATCAAGCGAGATTGTGTGTTTGTTTGTGGGACAGTTGCGTTTTCTGCCCAGTAGCAGCACCAGTATTGTTTCCCTGGAAAGAAAGTTTTCTCTTAAAAAGATGTCTTTATGATTTATGTATGTGCTATGAAGGATATGTTGATGATACATTACGGAGCAACTGTTTTTTTATCAAAATACCGTCCAAACACTACTTGGAAGCCAATTCAAACAACAAACTCTGTGGAGAATTTTCCTCAGGAAATGTACAAGAAAGATGAAAAATGGCACAGAGGGAGATGGAGAAGAGGGGTCAACAGCAGATAGGCAGTGGATGCCTGTCAAAATCAATTTATAAGCAAGAATTTAAAAATACGGGAAAAAAAAAAAATCTATGGTGTGTGACAAAGATGAAGTGCCTTTGGCTGTAAATTGTGATTAGATAATGCTAACATAAGCTCTCCTGCCAAAATTGGCTTCAGTTGTGTACATTTGAGGTTTCCATATGAGTGGTATTATGATAAATGTCGTCTACTTTGCTGAAAGCTTCTTGCACTCATTCTATAACACATGTACACACAAAATCCCACATCTGCAGTACCTGTCGTGCCCTGTGATCTGTCTCTATGACATGTTTCCTGAGGCAGGCCAGACCACAGGCATCAGGAGAGCTGCCAGTATTCCAATCTGAGGTGGCACCAGAGTCTATAACCCACTGTAACACACACAGAGAACACGGTTCTAGCTTTGAGTGCTAATTAGGACCCCACCGTACCTGCCGCGCCACATGCCTCATAGACACGGCGTGTCGCTTCATGCAGGCCTGACCGCGGTGATCCGGGGGGTTTCCGATCTCATAGGTGGATGTGGCGGCACTGTCTATTCTCCACTGAAGACACACACACATAAGGCATTATGATGATAACAGCAATACACATAAATATGTATAAACACACACAAACTGAATTTTTTGAAGAACTATGTTACCATATAGCGGTTTGTTACTGCTGCAAAAATGCAAGTTAAGCATGTTCAATGGGACCGTGGTGGCCAAGTCTTCATATTTGAATATTTCTGGCCTTAAACTTTGAGGCTGGAATGAATCTGACACCGGTTCTTTGTATTTTGCCTCATGAGGCTTTGACTCTTATTCTCCTTGTCAAACATTTTAAACAGCAATTTTTTTTTATGATTTCATGTTTGTCTCTTGTGCAACCTTAGAAATAAAGTCAAATCTCCACAAGAGCAAGCGTACCTGGAAAATAAGAATGATCATGATACTTGCAACCAAAGCGTACATGAGGTGCGAGGCTAAAAGTACCTCAAAATATTTATGAAGTGCTTTAGCTCTGGAGTGCAGATGTCGCTTTGTTACATACCTGCTAGATCACTTAATATTAACAAACTTCAAGACCAGCCAATAACTTTCATCCAGAAGATGATGCATTGTCACAATCAGTTCACTAAAGCACATGCGATTAGTTGTGAGTCTTAGTAAGCCAGAAGCACATATTGATTTATACCTCGGCTCATTCAGTAAAAGCACCACCACATGCAGCGACTTACCTTGTCCACCACCCCATTGTCTGTGGCCATTTTCTGGAAAACAGCCTCAGCGATCGGGGATCTGCAGATATTCCCTGGGTATTGATGAAAGGGAAGAAGAAATGTATTATTTTAGTAGGCAAGGATTATATGTGATCTAATTATTCTGAGTAAATGCCATATGCACAAACATATACACAATATCACTTTTTTTTTGCCATATAGAAAATCAAGCATTATGTTAACTTGACAAACAGCATAGCAAAGCACACTAGATCTGTATATTTTAAGACTGATCTTACTATAGACTTATTTTTCCTTGTTTGCTTCATACATTTTGTAAATGTATATATACACCACCATTAGTATGCGCAAGTAAGATTTCTTATTATCAATGTTGAAAACAGTTGTGCTGCTTAAATTTTTTTTAGAAACTGTGATACATTTTTTCCCCATGATCCTTCGCTGAATACAAAATTGAAAAGAACATGTAAATTTAAGGTTTTTTTTCCACAGTAAACAACTTTACTGTCAATTTTGATAAATTTTAACACATCCTTACTGAATGAAAGTACTGTTTTCTTCACACACACACACACAAAAAAAAACTTTACTTATACATTTTACACAAGCATACGAATATGGTTTTGTTGTTTTATTATATGCTGAAAACAACAAAACAAAAACAAATCCACAGACTATAAAGCATAACATCTTATGCAAACTGCAGCGGGAATATCAAAACGTATCCGAATGGCATTATGAAAATAAGAAAGCTCACTAAACGGGGTTCGTTTGTGTTCAGCAGCATGACTCAACTGAGGCAAGTAGAAAAAGGCCAAACTAGTGCTTAGAAAATTAACATATGGGTGATCAATGATGAAAAACATATACATATAGGTTATGCTACTAGGCTCTAGCGCCAATATTAACGCGATGTGCTCGTTGATGTATGACTGGATGAGATATGTGAGATACGCGTGTGTTTGCAATCTGCCAGTATGTGAGCTCACGATGACAGATTTGTATTTCACTGAATGAGGCCGGTGAAACAGTGATCATTGACTGAAACAGTGATGATAATTTGACCGTTTTCTCCGGCCGCAATGTTGCCTTAACACACATCAAATCAAAGAAGGTCTGGCAATATTGTATAAACTTTCTTACCCAAGCACACGAACAACACCGACCTTCCACTGGGAGTCGCCATATTGGTCACTATTAAAGGTCCCCGCGCCACCGCTGAGGGTTGTCCAAGTTACCGCCTGTTCCAAATTCATCAAGATTAGCCAGATTGGTAGCCTACAGAAGTCCTAAAATGCCATGGATTATGATTATTGTTCTTTCTTGTTTTCTCGTGATCTCGACATAACAAATTTTTTTTTTTTTTTTTCAATGATTGATCTTTTTAAACACGCGTCGTGAATCTACTGTTGCTATAGTAACGAACGCAACTTTGATGCGCATCATGTTGTGGATATTTCAGCACATTTTGCTTCGCTTAGTAATAACGTCTACAATAAATAAATATAGGCTAATCAATCACTGTTGATTTTTTCCCCAAAGATTACGCTAAACATTTTGTTTGTGTAATTAACGTTTAAATGGTCAAAGCGATCAACACCGCAAACAGGCGGAGCGCCTTCAGAAGGATGCAGAGAACTATTCTAAAATATGTTAGAGCTGTTTGGATTCATTTAACTCACTTTATTTTCCTTTTATTTGAAATAAAATTATATATAATTTGTTTGTGGTTTTTATTAGTCATGTAGGATATGCCATGACTGTCATGTGATTTACAAGCTTGGGGAGCTGTTTGAAAAGAGTGTTTATGTGTGTGTGTGTGTTTCCTACAAAGAAATGTAGAAAAAGATTACAACACTGTATAACATCAGTAAATTAAATTAGCCTATACACATTTTACATATATAAATCACATTTCTTATCAATAATGTTTAACAATAAAGATTAAAAATAAGGATAAAGATGCACATTACAAATGCGTCGTTAAAGCGCGTCCTAGATAAGCACAACATCCCCGATTATTAACTAACAATCATGTAGCTACCTCAAAGATGCACAAATAAAGATATAGGTGCAAACAGAATACTATACAGTGAGGTCAGCCTTGGTTTTAGTAAGCAGTTAGTTTATCACCACTGATCTAGCCTATAATAGAGATCATATAGATCAGTGTTTATCACACGGAACACCATTGCGGTGGTGAAGCTGTGATGAGTCACGCATCTAGCAAGAACTTAACAATAACAGATTAACAAAATAATCATATTGATTCAAGCATTTAACATTTTTGAGTTAATTAAATGTCAGTAATGAACAATACTGCACAAATTGTGAAGGCAGCACATACACTGCATCTAATGTGGCAGATAAACTGCATGTTTTTGGTGTCTCTCTTATCTGACACTCACATTTGAGGTCTTGGAGTCTTCACTAATGAGCCGATGAGTTAAATCAGGTGTGTTTGAATAGGGAGACATCTAAAATGTGCAGTGTTGGGGGTTCTCCAGGACCAGGATTGGGAACCACTGACATAGAGGATCCAGAGCCCATCTTCAAGTAAAGGTTTCATATTATGTTTTGCCAGTAAGCTACACAGTAATGACTAAGAAACTTTTCTCTGATGTTTTTTCAGGCTTTCATAAGCCTAATCTGTCCCGATTCTATTATTGGTATCACTATCCCCTTAAAGAGCACAATAGCATATACCAGGGATCCTCAAATCTGGCCCACGAGATCCACTTTCCTGCAGAGTTTAGCTCTAACCCTAATCAAACACACCTGAGCATACTAATCAGTGTCTTCAGGATCATTAGAAAATCACAGGTAGGTGAGTTTGATCAGGGTTGGAGCTAAACTCTGCAGCGCATTGGACCTCCAGGGCAAGATCTGAGGAACCCTGGCATATACAGATCTAAGTGGTCAGGTTGTGGGAAAGTCCTGTTTTCCAGACCATATTTAGAACAAGTTTAGATTGCAGTATTATTCAGTCTTCTGCCCGGCCTGCTTAGCCATACTTGCTCTGTTATGAAACCAGATTATACTTCAGTGTCAGTGGCCTGCACAGACCTCCACAGGGGCAGGGGAGGAAATCACGTTCTCAGGGCAGGTGGGATCACCCTCAGTAGAAATCGTGTTCTAGGGCAGTGTTTCCCAACCCTGGTCCTGGAGGCACCCCAACACTGCACATTTTGCATGTCTCCTTTCTCTGATGCACCAATTTCAGGGCTGCGTTCAGCCCCGACAAAAAACGGTGCAAAACGTTTTTTAAACGGAAACGGTGGTGCGTTGAACACCCTGTTCTGATGCCGCTCTCTGATTTTCGGAGCCTGATGAAATCGGTATAAATACGTGTTTAATACTGCAAAATACGCTCGATGGTACAGTCACTGCCCTACTGTTCTGATGACGCAAGAGTTGCAACTATGGCAGCTGAGAAGGCCATTCTTTGTGTTCTTTTTGAAGAATTTTCAGAGCCCGATGAAATCGGTATAAATATGTGTTTAATACTGCAACATACGCTCGATGGTACAGTCATTGCCCTTGCCATCCAGAATAAAAGAGAAAATCCCAATCAAATGAAGGGATTTGTGGAAACTGTGGTTCCTAATTATTGTGATCCAACATTTGCCTCGCATTTCAGGATGAAAAGTCAAACATTTCAGGTGAAGGATAATCTACTTCTTAAGACTGTGTTATGATCTATATGACCTTATTATTTTTATTGTGAGTATTAGGCTTATCATTATTGCTGATCACTGTTGTTGTGCTATGATATTGTAACATTTACCATTATATAATCAGAGGGGTATAGAAAAGATTATTAACGTGTCACTCCATAATACAATAGCAAAATATATAAATATGTATGGTATTTTTATGTAACATTAATCAGTATTTAGCACACAATAGAATACATTGCAATTACTAAATTATATTTAGACAGACTTAAAGAAGTTCCAGATCTATACATGTGCTCTTATTATTTCAGTTATTTTGCCTTTAATGCAAATAAACATGTGCAAACAATATACTTGCTCTTGTGAATTTATTTGGATGTTAATTACATTGTGCGAGCTGTCTCTTTAATACCGCGTGGTTTACATACATGTTGCTGCTGATTGGGCTGACATGTTTGACACACCCACCAAACAAGAGAAAACGCATCTCAAACCCCGTTGCACACCGTTTCCAGGAAACATGTCGTTCAAACCGGAAACCGTAGCAAAACGGTGCACACCGGTTTGAGCTTGACTTGAAGGCTCTACTAATGAGCTGATGATCTGAATCAGGTGTGTTTGATTAAGGAGACATGCAAAACGTGCAGTGTTGGGGTGCCTCCAGGACCAGGGTTGGGAACCACTGTTCTAGGGGCACCTCGATAGGACAGAAAATTCACTTTAGCACTGGCAATTAAAGGGGCAGGGGCTTGAATATTAGAATGATTTCTGAAGGATAATTTGACACTGAAGACTAGAGTATGGCACAAAGGGATTCCTATGCATGTTAAAAATCTGGTGATTTCCATAGATAAATTACAGTATTTGTAGGTAAATAATTCCACTCTAGAGATACTAATAGGTTTGTCAGCTTTCCTGTTTTGGCGTTGATGCATAACCTGTCAAAGAGAATGACCAGTTAGAGATATAATGAAAACCATATTCCAGGGTCAGTGACTAAAGCATTGCCAAACTTTAAGGGAGGTGATGTATGAATCCAACTTACTGAGAGATCCAGAATAGCTTCTCTGTACAACAACAAAACCGATATTCATTGACATAGTCATTCTATTGGTTTTGACTGACTGGATTATGCAACACAACAGATATTGATCTATACGACTTGATCTGTGCAGCTCATACATGCTGTATTCACAAACTGAAATTCAGCTGGTTTGCAGCTGCTCAGCACACAAATCTTCTTGGTAATGAGCAAATCTTGGAACTTTCATTAATTATGTCTTCACATTAACATCCTTAGCCTTGCATACTGACACAATATGCTGTTTGCAGAAAATACCATTCAGATTTGAGTGAATGTTAAACTTGTTTCCGAATTTGAACTTTTCTTAAAGGAATAGTTCATCCGAAAACTCATCCGAGAATTGACTCACCCTCAGGCCATTCAAGATGTAGATGAGTTTGTTTTTTCATCGTAACAGATTTGGAGAAATGTATCATTACATCACTTGTTCACCAATGAATCCCCTGCAGTGAATGGGTGCCGTCAGAATGAGAGTCCAAACAGCTGATAAAAACATAAATACTCCATTAGTGGGGTATTTTTAATAAACAAATCCAACATTAAGACAGCTTTATCTTCAAACTGTTGCTTCCAGCTAAAATATGAGTACTCTATATACAATATTTCTTTCTTCAGTGAAAATGTCATCTCGTCTGAATCAGTAGAGAAATATTCACAGATCAAGCACTGTTTACAAGCGAAAACAGTTCAAAACAGTTCTAAACAAATATGTCGGTGAATTTTGATGTGAGAAGACAACAGGGAATGGACTTTTTCACTGGAGGAAATGTTATTATAGATTATGTACTCAGAAGTGACACTTTAATGTTAAAATGCCTTAATGATGGATTTGTTTCTTACAAACACATATTATCACTTCACAAGACATTTATTGATGGACTGAAGAGGTGTGGATTACTTGTGGATTACTGTGATGTTTTTATCAGCTGTTGGGACTCTCATTCTGACGGCACCCATTCACTGCAGAGGATCCAATGGTGAGCAAGTAATGTAATGATCAATTTCTCCAAATCTGTTCAGATAAAGAAACAAACTAATCTACATCTTGGAATGCCTGAGGGTGAATGCATTATCAGATAATTTTCATTTTAGATGAACTATTCCTTTAAATCTTCAGTAAACTCTACCAAGGTCTTTAAAAAAAGATGATCATTTGGTCCTGTGGACATCAGTGATGCATTATTCAAGACCTAAATACCCTTGCCAATCTAGTAGAGGTTGTGTGTTGAGGCTGACATAATCATACCTCACTACAGACCTAAATGATTAACCTTGAAGGTCATGCAATCGGATTGCTGTTTCCTATCAGAGATCATGTCTGGAATCACTCATATATTTGTTCAGAAAGACTTTGAGTGATCATTCTAAGGTTTGGAATGGACATATCACAACCATTTGCTTTGTGAGATGTGTAAACAAGGTAATGGAAGGTCATGGTTTTGGTTGTAATTTGTCATGCTGTGGTTTCACATGTTATAATTCACATGCGATGAAGAGGG